CATTACTAATGATAATATCATAAATTTACCAATAATAATAATAATGAATTTAAAACATTCAAATATTTTACTTTTCTACTAATATATTAATTTTAAAATAACTAAATTTGTTATTAATTATTTATATTATTTCATTAATATCTAAAATTATTAATGCCGATTTATTAATATATTATTTTTATTTGATTTTTTGTTAATACATCTTATTATTATTATTATTTTAAAAAATATTTTAAGAAAATATATTAGAATTCTACTCAGTTAATCGAATTCGGATCTTCTCTTCTGACAGCCATAACAAAAAAGGAAGAAAAAAACTCAATTCAATGATAAAAGAAAATGCTTGAATTGGGTAAATAAAGTGGGAATGAATTAGATTGTGTAATTAAAAAAAAAATTATTGAAAAGAAAACAAACCGGAAACTCATTTAATATTTTTTATTTCAATAAAACCAGTGTTCTATAAAGAATGTATTACATAATACTTTATATTCAAATATAATTAATTAATTTTACACTTACTAAAAAGTCAATACAAACGTTGTTTTGACTAGAACCATGAAAATAAAATCAGTTACATAAAGAATAATTAAGAAATTATACCATTAAACAAGAAAAATTAATTGTATTTATTAATTAATTTATACTTAAATTGATCACTCATAATTGTTTATTTATTTATATTTAATTTAAAACAGAGGATTCTGGTAACTCTTCCGTAAATCTATTCTAATTAAATTAATTTAAAATAAAGAAGCATAGTCCAAAATGTTGTTTCCCACTAAAATAATAAAAACAAAAGTAGATTAACAAACAGGTGACTCCAGAATAGAAAGGCATTAATGACAGCATCAATTTTTGTTTTCAGTTTAATTAACTAAACACCACCTTGTTAAAACGTATTTACCACAATTTAATGCAACAAATCCCTCTCTAAATCCACTGCACTCGGATCAGTTGAAACGGAGTTATCAAACGTCGACCTCCCCGTGCGCATTACGCACCGCGTACTTTACCCGTAACGCCACTCATTTTCAAAACCGCATCAAGTTTAAATGGAATAAAAAACTATTTTTAAAATTTAAAATTAAAAAATAAAATAACCAAATTTCTTAATTTCCCCTCCAATTTCTTCTCTTCTTCTTGTCTCTTCTTGTTTTTTTCTCTCTCTTCCTCCGCAGCTAAGCTTCAGCTTGGAGGGTCCATGGTCCACTTTCTGGATCTCACCGTCACCGCCACCGTCACACCTTCTCAATGCTTCTTCAACCTCTCCTCTTCCCCGTGACTCACTGGCGCGGGAAAATACCTCTTCCTCCCCAACCTTCTCGTTTCGATCTCGATTCTGCCTGAGATTCTTCTCTCTCTGTTCCCGAGTTTTAGGGTTTTGACGAAGACCGGGTAGCACGCGCGCTCACGACGTCGTTTCGTTTGAACGCGAGGCATGATGCCGGGACACCGCTCGAAGTCGGAGAAGCATGACGGCGGCGAGAAGCAGCTCCGACGGGACCCCTACGAGGTCCTTGGGGTCTCGCGCAACTCTACGGATCAGGAAATCAAAACCGCGTACCGAAAAATGGCGCTCAAGTGCGTTTCGAATCCCCTCTCGCGGTGTTGCTCTGTGGTTTTTTGAATTTGTGGTGTTGTTTGGTTTGAGTGTGTTGAGAATGAAGATAATAGTGGAGTTGCTGCTGTTATTATATATTGGATTAGGATTTTTGGATATTGTTAATTATGTGCGTGAAACGTGTTCTTCTTCCTTAAATCGGTCATCTAAATGATGCTAATGTTAGTTACGAAAAGAATACGTTTTATTTTAATTCTCAGAATCTCTTGATTGAAGACGCTGCTGTAGTCACTTTGGTCTAGACTTTGACAAAGCTGCCGAACCCCTTGCTAAATCTTGGTCATACCTTTTTTAATATATATGTGTATGAGTGTGTCTGTGTGTAATATTCTTTTCAAGGTTTTATTGAAAGGTGTGTGATCACGGTTTCGGCTAAAACGTCGCAATTGCAGCTGCATCGGCTTCATTTTTCTGCAATTTTACGCAATTTCCTACAATATCAAGGATTGTGATGAAATGGTGACCACCCAGTTTATAACCTGCATTGTAGAGTAGATGATTGGTAAAAGTAGTCTTCTGAGCTTTCCTTTTGTGGTTGATATTATTTATGCTTAATTGTATGGAAGGTACATAAAAAGGTCGTTTTATACTTTTATTTGTTGCGGAAATTATTATGGTGTTAGAATCAATTTTAGATGGTATAGTTCATATTAGTTGCAGAAAGGAAAGAGAAATAAGGCCGTTAAAAATCATAAAGTAGAGCTCTGGAAAAGATTCATTTGATTACAGGCGGAGAACCTGAATGTTTTTTGTTTTTCAGACTTGCTAATTGCTCCTGTTGATAAGGTCAAATAATCCTTTACAGATAATGTAGGAACGAAGCCTCTGAATCACTGATCATGTCATCATGCATCTGATACAAAGCACCTAACAGCTTCCAGTAAAATTTTATGTATTAAAGGTGTTTTCCTAGAATTATATGGAATGAACTTCTCCATAAGGACTTCTAGGAGAGAAAAATAAGAATAAAAAGTGAAATTGTCGAAGTTAAAATTACCTTATGTACAAGTTAAAAATTATGAATTTAGGGAAGTCATATGTGAGAGCTTCAACAAACTAGCTTATAAAAAAACTAATTTTAACTTTTGGAGAAACTCATTTCACTTTTTCTTCTTATTTTTCTTTCCTAGAAGTCCTTGTAGAAAAATTTGTCCAAACAAAGTATTCTTTCTGGTGTATATAGTTACTCTGATTGACTGTTCTTCCTTCCTGTCTTACTTTCATCTAAAGCTCCGGCAGGGATGGTTAATTTATTGATTAGCTAAATCAATTTCATTTCAGATATCATCCGGACAAGAATGCAAATGATCCTAAAGCAGCTGATATGTTTAAAGAGGTTACCTTTTCTTATAATATCCTCTCAGATCCTGACAAACGGCGTCAATATGACTCGGCTGGCTTTGAGGTTATAGAAGATTTCTTACTATTTCGAATCATTAAGACTTTAGGATGGTCATTATTTATTCTGATTTGCGTTTTTCATTGCTTATTGAAGATTCCAATTTCGTCCCAAATTTGTTTCCAAATATTATTGCTGAAAAAAATAGTTTCAAACCTCTTACCATAGATCATCTGATATGAACTGTCATGTCTATGTATAGGCTGTTGAATCAGACAACCAAGAGTTGGAGTTAGATCTTTCAAGTTTGGGGGCTGTCAATACAATGTTTGCAGCGCTTTTTAGGTACCAAGATTGAATGTGCTTCTCTGCCTCTTCACTCTCAATTTCTTTTCTTTGTTGAATGCTTAGAACATTGCTACATATTTCTTTGTGTTTTTTAACTTTTCCCTCCTTTTCATCATTCATTTTCTTCATGAATGACAGTAAACTTGGTGTGCCAATTAAGACAACTGTATCTGCATCTGTTTTGGAAGAGGCACTCAATGGTTTAGTGACCATTCGTCCGCTTCCATTAGGTCATTATGTATCTAAAAGGGTGAGCTGCCTATTATTTTAATTCACTGATCCCTTTTAAGTCATAGTTTTCTTACATTTGTTCTTGTTTTGGTGGTTTCATCTTACAGGTTGAGAAGCAATGTGCACACTTCTATTCAGTTACAATAACAGAAGAGGAAGCACGAGCTGGATTTGTTTGTCGAGTACATTCATCAGACAAAAGCAAGTTCAAGGTTGGAATTTCATCTCTCTCATTCAAGAAATATTGAGCAAGTGTAATGCTCAACCAGGCAATATTAAGATCTTTATTTGTGCCTTATGGAAACTGGTTTCTACACAAGAGTTCTCTGTCTCTTTCTTGTAAGATTAGTTTGTGGGATTGGGTGTTCCCAATGCAACTGCAAGACTAACGGTTAGCTTTTTTTAATTTAGTGCATATTAGGGAGCTTATGTTACTTGAGATTCTAAATGCTCTCAATTAGCAAGGTGATTGATTCTATTTCACTACAATGATTTGCTCTCTTAGGGAACTTTGACCTTGAACTCTTGCAAATTTATTCGATTTCTTCATTTCAAAAAATTGAATTATCCCTTGGGTGTGTAATTTATTTTTGTGCGCTGCTTTTACAGTTTCAAAAGTATTCTCCTTTCCTCGTATATTGTAAAACAATTATGTGTGTGTTTATACTAATATTCTAGATGATTTTCATATAATTTTAATATTTAAAATCATTAATATGTTCAATTGATAAATGATCTCTTTGTATGGTGTTTGATACCTTGATTATCTTTCCACAGTTACTATATTTTGATCAGGAAGACAATGGTGGTTTAAGTCTTGCACTCCAGGTATTATACATTTTCTGTGTGTTTGTGAAACACAATGCTTGTATTTTTCTCAAAGGAATTAATTATTTCTGATGTAATGGTTATTCGTTGGATTTCAATGGCTCTTGCGTAATTATTTCATCGGCATACTTTTTTTCTCTTTTGTATTTTGACTTTTGAGCATTCCGTGACATTAGTACATTACTAATTGTTGTTGTAGGAAGACAGTGCAAAAACAGGGAAGGTTACCTCTGCTGGGATGTTCTTTCTTGGGTTTCCTGTTTATAGATTGGACCAAACAATGAACTCTGTGAGTGGCAACTTTCACAAGATAGTATTTAATTTAAATTTTGTCTATCCATTTTCATTTAAAAAAAAATTGGCTGTTGAATTATTTCTCTATAGATAGCTGCTGCTAAGGATCCAGATACATCGTTTTTCAGAAAGCTGGATGGGTTTCAGCCTTGTGAATTAAATGAATTGAAGGCTGGTACCCATGTATTTGCTGTTTATGGTAAATGCCTACTTTTAACCCAGTGAGCCAGTGCTGCTTGTTATGTTGGTTACTGTAATTTTTGCCACATGAATTGACCGTCAAATTTCTTCTAGGTGACAACTTTTTCAAAAGTGCAAATTATACAATAGAAGCCCTATGTGCTGCACCTTTTAGTGAAGAAAAAGAAAATTTAAGAAGTATAGAAGCTCAAATCTTGTCTAAAAGGGCCGAAATATCAAAGTTTGAGGCAGAATATCGAGAGGTGGGCACTTGATCTGTATGGGTATAATTATATTACTTTTCGTCAAATCTCATGCGGGGTCTTTGTAGGTTCTGGCTCAATTCTCAGAGATGACAAGTAGATATGCACATGAAATTCAATCAGTGAGTTCTTATTTTAAAACGGTTTTTTGTGCAGCATTCCCCCGACCCCCTCTTTGGGGCAAAAATTCATCAAAAATGGAAAACACTGAAGTTTTGCTATTTATTCCTTTGCAGATTGACGAACTACTGAAGCATAGGAATGAAATACATGCATCATACACTATTACTCCCTTTAAACGGAGTACAAGTAAGAGCAGAAGTAAAAGTTCTTCCAAGGAAAACAAAGAAGATGGCCAAACAAGAGAGAAGAGGAATACAAGAGATCGGCCAAAGAAGAAGAAATGGTATAACATCCACTTAAGAGTCGATAAGAGAAAGGCTTGCTAAGGTGAGAATTGGAAAATTAAGAATTCCACTGTAAAACTATAATCAGTTGATCTGGATCCTTTTGATTGTTTAGTCGTACAAGTTAAAGAAGAAGCCCTTGACAAAGCAATATAAAATATTGTTGGAAGGTTTTCAGTCTATCACTCAAGCTTGTCAGGGATGACAACAACTCATTGTTTATGTATAAATCCATTTCCCCTTTCCTTTTATTTCTCTCCATGTAGCTCATCTTAAGAATTCGTACTTGTAAATTGTTTGATTTATTGATGAAGAATGATTAACTCTCTGCGGCTTGTAATTTTGTTTACAAGTAATGGCAAATCATTGGAGAATAGGGTCATGTATTTTCTTGCTTAATGGTATTTTCAATCTTGTAATTTTTAATATCTGGAATTAAGCCGAGTTAAGTTATTTCAGCATACCTTTTGAGTTATATAAAATATTATATCTATCACTTTTAGATTTTTATTTTACGTCGTCAATTAGCATGATTTGAATTCTTTCTTAGAACCTTAATTTTTGCTGGAAATTATGATTACCGGTGCAATAATTGGCAGCTGGGATTGTGTATTTTATTATTACATTTATTGATGGCCTTTAATCTTGGTGGACGGGTGACAAGCTGGAGCTTTGGTGGTTTGATCCCGTTAGTTATTTAATACCCTAATGATGTCTTCAGGAGACAATTTACAGCTAACGATGTGAATAGCAGCAATGCTTCCGTTTGTAAAATGGCGACAAAAGCAAGTAGAGAGATGCTGTCTAAATAAACTTTCTAGTTTAAGCTTGGCTTCAGAGGGTATTGATAATGATGCATTATTTAAAAATTCCTATTGCAACCAACTGTTCTTAATAATGACCCAATGAGGTGTAGAACCAACCTAATTAGATGCAATGCAACAACAAATGAAAAGGGGTTTTGTTATTTCGACACCTCATTTAATACATAAATAAGAATGCATCCAAAGTGGATGCGACAACTAAAAGACTCTTAATACTACTGTCACTGCTACTAAGAGCCGGGTCACTAGCTTCCCAAAGTTTTCTTATTCATATTTAAAGAGGGGCCCGTTAAACGTAGTGTAACCTGTTTGAATTGTTCTCTTCATTTATAAATAGTGTAACTTAGGCAATGTTACTATGTATTACTATAATTATAAGTATTGAAAAATATTAATGCACTCTATACAAGAACGGGACATTCCCTTTATTCTCTCCTATTTTTTAGTATAATCAATTTATTTTTCTTCATGAGGGTAAATTAACTAAAAAATTGTTAGAGTAAAGGACCGATTGGTAAACTAAAATTATCTTCAAATTCAAAATTGATAAATAAACAAGTAAAAGAAATTATGAATAAATGACATTTGAAAATAAACCCAAAAAATATATTTGATTTGATTATTCTTGTTAGTTTTCATTTTTGTATATAAAACTTATCTCAAAGACTTAGTCTTATTACATTGTAGATATTTTAACTTGGATAGAATAATAAGATTGTCTGAAATGAATAATACCATTTAATGCAAGGATTTTTCTAGAAACTGTATTCTAAAACTCATCTATATAGTTTTCTACAATGAAAAAAAGAGTGTGAAAAAAAAGAGAGTGATGCGGTGTGTAAAACCCTATATAATTAGCAATAATAATTCTGTGTTAAATCAAATTAATGCACACTATAATCAATGCTTATCTCATTAAAGCCCACTTAAAATATGCTAAATCCCTCTGCTGTGCACTGAAAACCGTGACAAATCATTCTCTGAAACACGCACCACGTCACACACTCAGTGCATTAAAAACGCACCAAGCGCTGCATGCACGCATGCCACTTGTCACGTTGGAAGTTTCGGAAGTCAGAATGGAGGTGCAGGTGTCCGAAAGTGAGACGCTCATTCGTCTGGAATTGGAAGGAACAAAAGTGATCTTCGAAAACCCTTCCGCTCACCTGCACCATTCATCTTCTTCCTCAGAACCCAACCTTTCGTTTTCTCCAACTTCTCTCTAGAAACCCTAAACTTCTCTCTACTGTAATCTTCACGTTTCTCCTCCGATTCCATTTCCAGCACCGTAGAAACGTCCACTGCGTCGTGAGCTTTCACTGGAACCGAACATATTAGAATTCTGCATCCGGTAAGCTTTCAAACCCTAGAAACCCTTTTCTGAGTTGCATGCGAACTTGATGCAGCTGCATGTTAGAATATACACTAAGTTCTCCTTCGTTCTTTTTGGTTAGAGTTAGTGAAACACTTGAGAATCACGTTGCGGGTAGGAAATTTTGTTTGGACAAGTTAACAAACGTTCGCGTAGGGAGTTCACTGCTAGACCAGGTAAGGGAAGCTTATATGTTTAATTTATACTGTATGTTATATGTTCTGATTTGCATGTATGATAAATCTGAAGTTTGAGCTGTTATGGAAGATTACTGATATCTGATATGATTTCTGGTTTTGGTTGATCTGTCATGAACAAGCACTGTTTGTATGTATTATATATGTGTTGATTTTGATTGAAATGCATGTTGATTTGGTTACGTATGAATGGAGTATGGTTATTGTATAGTTGGAATGATTAAAATGTTGAGATCTATATGATGATGATATTTAAGGTGAATTAAATCTGGAATGAAAGTTATAAAGTTTATAAATTTGAAATCTGGAAAATTCTGTTAAG